GTTGTGTGTTGATGTTGTTGTGTGTGTGGATGTTTACTCTTTGGTTCTATTCGGTAAAGTCACGTAGGTAAAAATAAAATAACAAAAAAATCACGACGTTTCGGCCACAACACAAGTGGCCTTCATCAGGTGAAGGGACCGGACTGTCCAGAGGACAGCGTTGGAATGAAGACAGCCAAGCCCAAGTCGCGTCCTTTAAGCTTTGTTATTTTTTTGTTATTTTTTGTTGTTGTTTTATTTTTACCTACGTGACTTTACCGAATAGAACCAAAGAGTATGGATCCTTGCAGTCACGAAAGCTTCAAATCTAGAATTGTGTGCATGTTGTGTGTGTGTGTTTCGATGTTGTTGTGTGTTGATGTTGTGTGTTAATGTTGTTGTGTGTGTGTTTTGATGTTGTTGTGTGTTGATGTTGTGTGTTAATGTTGTTGTGTGTTGTGTGTGTGTGTTGATGTTGTTGTGTGTTGATGTTGTTGTGTGTGTTGATGTTGTTGTGTGTGTGAGTGTTGTTGTGTGTTGTTGTTGTGTGTTAATGTTGTTGTGTGTGTGTTGATGTTGTGTGTGTTGTTGTTGTGTGTGTGATGTTGTTGTGTGTGTTGATGTTGTTGTGTGTGTGTGTTGATGTTGTTGTGTGTTGATGATGTTGTGTGTTAATGTTGTTGTGTGTGGTGTTGTTGTGTGTGTGTTAATGTTGTGTGTGTGCTGATGTTGTTGTGTTGATGTTGTTGTGTGTGGTGTTGTTGTGTGTGTTGATGTTGTTGTGTGTGTGGGTGTTGTTGTGTGTGTGTGTTGATGTTGTTGTGTGTTGATGTTGTTGTGTGTTAATGTTGTGTGTGTGTGAATGTTGTTGTGTGTTGTTGTTGTGTGTTAATGTTGTTGTGTGTGTGTTGATGTTGTATGTGTTGTTGTTGTGTGTGTGATGTTGTTGTGTGTGTTGATGTTGTTGTGTGTGTGTGTTGATGTTGTTGTGTGTTGATGTTGTTGTGTGTTAATGTTGTTGTGTGTGGTGTTGTTGTGTGTGTGTTAATGTTGTGTGTGTGTGTTGATGTTGTTGTGTGTGGTGTTGTTGTGTGTGTTGATGTTGTTGTGTGTGTGGGTGTTGTTGTGTGTGTGTGTTGATGTTGTTGTGTGTTGATGTTGTTGTGTGTTAATGTTGTGTGTGTGTGAATGTTGTTGTGTGTTGATGTTGTTGTGTGTGATGTTGTTGTGTGTGATGTTGTTGTGTGTTGATGTTGTTGTGTGTGATGTTGTTGAGTGTGTGTGTTGTTGTGTTGATGTTGTTGTGTGGGTTGATGTTGTTGTGTGTGTGTGTTGATGTTGTTGTGTGTGTCGTTGTTGTGTGTGGGGAGCGGTCGTGTAGCGGCTCGCCCCGAATCGCCGCGCACAACCCCCCCAAGCGTGCTCCGTTTCAGCCGGGACAGCCTGGAACGATGTTCCCAGGAATAGTTTGGGCACGCCACATCCCATCTCACCTGGCAGGGACCCTTAACCTGTCCCGTGGGTGGATCACCCAGCGGATATGCATCGACTAGCGCCAGTCATAAGGAATTGCCGCCAGCGGCCCAGGGCTGTACTCAGGGGGAATGCGCGCTGCCTGCAATGATCATCTGAGCAGGAAATCGCTTCGACTCCACGGGGCCGACAACGCTTGAACTTTCCTCCGCAAAATGGTACCCATTTTATCGACCCACACCCCTCGCCCCGGAAGGATGAAGGGACTGAGTCAACGCCCCGCAGCCGAGATTTAGGACTCGGCACCTTCTGTGAGCGTGATCGCTCGCTCGCTCGCTCCACCGCTGAAGCCACCTGGGCGGACACGCACTGCCCATGGCTTGGGGATCTTCGTGACGTTGCTGAAGGCGTCACGCGCTTCGGTGCGATAGCCACAGAAGGTTCGCGAGTTTTAATTCGGCACGCGCACGGGTCCGTGAGCGTGCATGGCGCAGGCTTTGTACAACCGCTGCCTTTATTAGGCACAGACGCACAGACACACAGACGGCGCGTATACCTGAGCCAGCACACCTGTGTTGGAGGGGCAGATAAGGACGGGGGGAGGGAGGGGGGTAAGGGAGGGGGGGGGGGTACAGGTCCTCAGGGTTTGTCACCAGGCGTGCTCGTGACCTGCCGTCTTCTCTGGTGCGTGTCAATGTGTACGCAAGTCGCTGCGCATGCGTCAGTCTTTTATGGGCGCTCGCTAACGGCACTTGCGCCCCGACAGCGTGCTGAGGACTGTATCGGGTGACCTTTGTCTCTTTGTCAATTCGAGTGACTCCCCCCGGGTCGACTCCAGCCTTCGGCGGGGCGCGGCGTCGTGGCATCAGCGGCGGCGCGTTCGACGCCTGTTGCAGAGATTCACGGTTCGATCTCCGCGGCCGTCCGGGTTATTACTGCGGGATGTGGTACCAAACCGTGGCGAGACCACGCGTCCTCTGCTTGACATGCGCACGTTAAAGATCCCGTGATGTCGTTCGCAAGAGTTAGGCCATTGTGTGCCGGAGGGAGGGTCTAACATTGTTTGCCGAATGTGAAACGTTACCCGCACACCGCTCGTTTGGAATCACACTCGGCAACCATTGCGACATCCATCGCCCTCCCCCCGTCGCCCCCTGCTGCGAAAACGTGGCAGGACCCTCCTTAAAGAGAGTCACGAGACTAGGCGAGGCTTTTCCCTGGGTGAACAAGCGTTGTTGTTGTTAGTACGGTTAAGATGATGAGTACCTGGTGCGGTGTGTAAACATCAAAGACAGCCGGGCGTGGTGCTGCCGGCTCCAGCACCGTGCCGGCCCTCCTCGGTGCGTCTCGCTCACAACACTTTCCTCCAACGGTCGAAACGGGGCAGCTTTGTCATCATCATCATGACCACCACCACCACCAAATGTGATTTGTTTAAGTAAATATAATAACCGCACGTGTCCCGACTTCTTGGGCCACCCTGTGTATGGCTAACTGCATGTGGGCATGCATGCGTTATGAAACCGGAAACCTGAATTAAATCCCAGGTCACGAGTGCTGAATTGATCCTGACCCCCCCCTCCCCCTTCACCAACCCGCACAGACCAGCGTGGGGACGCGTGGTTTAACAACCCCACAATGGCAACATTCCCCCGTGTAGCCTGCACACATTGTTGGGGCAAGTGCTGTTAGCGAGCACCTATGAGGGCCGGCACGGCACACGAGGGGGTGGGTGGCCAGCACCACACCCGGTCGCCTTTGTCTCCCCAGTGGCGATGTTTGTACACCGCACCAGGTACTTATTTGAGGCTGAGTCGACCTAGAAGAGGCCCCGGACCGATTCAGATAATCGTCACCGGTGTTGGCCATGAGCGGGATTCGAACTTGGGTCGTCAGCTTCGTAGCGCAGCGCACTATCCGCAACACATACAATCACACACAAACCACCTATACATACCGATACACGCCTATACGCACTTATGCATACATTGACAGCTGTACACACCCACCTGTATACACAGGCACCTATGTACACACACACACACGTGACTCCCATTGTACACGACCCTCTATGCCCCATGCTTGCGAGAAGAGGCGTGGATACGCGCCGAGTGGCTTTGGAAGCTCGCTGCAGGTGGCGATGCTGCTGTACTACGCGTACCTGTACAGCTGTATCAAGCTGTCTGTAGCTCTACCAAGGTGCAGCTGCATCCTGTATGCAGATCGCTGCAGATAGCTCTGGCAGTCGTGTATCTATTGACGGCAGCTGTGCCACACTGCACCGTGCTATAGCTGGCTAGAACAGACAAATCACTCTGCAGCTGTGACCATAACATGACTTGGATGTGCGTGGCGCTGCTGCATTTTAGATTCCCGCTCACACGACCGGCGTCCGTGGCTTCCCTAGGTCGACTCAGCCGTAAATGAGTACAGCACCCAGTGCTGTGTAAACATCAGCACTGGGGGAGACAAAGGCGGCCGAGCGTGGTTCCTGCCGCGCCACCCCCTCGCGTGCCGTTGCGGGATTAATAGAAATAGGTGCTCGCTGACAGCACTCGCCCAATAGTATGTGAAAGGCTATACGGGGGAACTTTCTCTTTTGTATTGTGGTGCAGCTGTAGCTTGCTGTGGATAGAGCGTGACACGGTGGACTGTATCTGTGTCGTGCTGTAGCCGGGTGTAGTTGTTGAACCAACGTGCGTGGCTGTAGCGTGGTCAGGGTGTACAGCTGTGCAGGCTGCTGTAGCCGGGTGTAGTTGTTGTACCAACATGCGTGTCTATAGCGTGATGAGGGTGTACATCTGTGCAGGCTGCTGTAGCCGGGTGTAGTTGTTGAACCAACATGCGTGTCTATAGCGTGATGAGGGTGTACAGCGGTGCAGGCTGCTGTAGCAGCTGTAGCTGCCTGCGTTTGAAGCGAGACGGCGATAGCGTCCGTATGGCGACGTTAGCCGTAGCTGCTGTATCTCAGCCACCGCGTGCTGTACCTCCGCAATGCTGTATCCCGAGCTGTATGTGTCGGTACCTGTGGCTACTAAAGGTTTCTGAATCTCGGTATCTGCACGCGCTTTTGCTGTGTCGATGCTGTTGGTAGCTGTATGCAACGTATCCATGCTGTGTGTAGCTAGCTGTAGGTGATGTTGGTGTAGTCTCGATCTCGCTAGACGTAATGTTGCTGCCTCCATGCTGTGTGTAGCTATAGTTGGTGATGTCGCGGTGTCCATGATGTAGCTGTTGCCGTATCCGCGATGTAGATGTCGCTGTTATTCACCGTGCCCGTCTGTGGCTGTCGCCTGTCTCGAGCTGCAGGTGCGAAACAACGCGAGCCACCAGCACCGCTCTGCCAGCGGCACGATCCTCGCTGCCGTGCTGCCAGAGGCGACGCGCGGCGTTCCCGCACCGCGCGCGCTGCCCCTGTGGCTACTGTCAGCACCCACCCAGCCCGACCTCCCTCATTCATCCGTGCTGTAACCATAGCCACCGTCACGCTCTCTCCGCCGCTCGATTCACGACGCCGTCACCATCGGAAACCCGAGGGCATCACTCACCCGACACAGCAGCCGCCGATGCCGCCGACGATGACGCTGCTGCTCCTGATGATGTCCGATCTCCCGCGCGGCTCTGAGTCTGTCTGCCTCCGGAGGGCATCCCCGAGTGGCGAGCCACGGACATGGCCTCCCTGGCTCCCGGCTTGGCTCACGGGAGCGCGAGGAGAATTTCACTCCCCGAGTTTATTTTTGGTGGCGGCGCGGCGGCGGCGGCCGTGGCGAGCGCGGGCGGCGATCGTCGGGATTCAGGACGCGTCCCTCTCGCTCCTCCTTGCTGCCTGCCTCTCCCGACCTTGCCTCTCTCTCTCTCTCTCCCTCCCCTCTCTCTCTCCCCTCTCTCTCCCTCCCCTCTCTCTCTCTCTCTGATACTCTCTCTCACCCCTTCCCTACGGCCCTTTCACCCCCCCCCTCTCCCCTACCACTGTGTACTTACCTCTCTCTCGTTCTTTTACGATCAGAGAAAACAAGAAGATGCTCGGTGTAGTCGGCACTTTGCTTCGTTCATCATTTAGTGTTTTTTTCAATGCTTTGCTTTATTTAACCCCTCCCCCCCCCCCTCTTTTTTTTTATAAATGACAGATTTCACAATAGATTTCACGCTCTGCTCTCCTTACCAATTCCCTCTCTCTCTCCCCCCTCTCTCTACCCCCCCCTCTACCACCTCTCTCCCTACTCCATGTCGCTCTCTCTCCCTACCACTGTGTGTCTACCGATCGCTCGCTCACGCCCTCTCCGTACAATTGTATCCTCACCTCTGTCTCTCAACCATTCTCTCGAAATCACCCCTACGACCGCTCTCTCTCTCTCTATCTCTGTCTCCCGCGACCACTCTTGCTCAGCGTCTCCTTACCTCTCCCTGCCTATCCAGCACCCACTCACTCTATCCATATCTCTCTGCACCACACTCGCTCTCTCAACCACTCTCTTCAATTCACTCAGCAGCACCGCCACCCTCTCTCTCTCTCTCCTTCGCTCGTTCGCTGTCGTTCTGTCGCTTGCTCTCCCTCTCTCTCCGCTCTCCCCCTCCGCTCTCACTCTCCTTCGCTATCTCCCTCCAGCCCCCTCTCTCGCTCTCCGTCGCTCTCCCCTCTCCCTCCCCTCTCAAATCCACAGTCCGGAATCAATAAACAATCCCCTTCTCCTGCCGCCAGGACAGCCGCTGATATCCGAGAGATGCGTCTCGAACCGCTGGAGCGGTGGTGGTGGTGGTGATGATAATAATGGGACCCACCAACCAAGATTCTCCTATTCGAGAGGTTCCTGCTGCTGCTACCTCGCATAGGGTGACATGTCTGGCCAGTTATCTTCATATTGTATTAAAGAGAACCTTACGATTAGCACGGTTGGCTACGTACGGTGCAAAATAAGTTCAACACGCATCGCATTAATCGGTGCATTGAGTACGACGAGCTGTGCACCAATCCGTACTGACCAGCGTGGTGAAGTATGGTCAAACACCCCCCCCACTCCCCCCCATCTCAACCTCAACCGTGGCCGACACGGCGGCGTATGTAGACCTTCATCCAGCAGTGAATTGACCACGACCAATGATGACAATGATGTTTTATTTTTCCTCCATGAGTACGAACAGTAGTATTTCTGTGAGCCGGTTTCCAAACCCGCGGTGGTCCGTTTGTAACATTCTCATCAAATATCACGGAGCATAAGTCCTCCCCTTCTCGGTATTATCATCAATGCCGCTGCTGCTGCTGCTGTTGTTGTTGTTATCTGCAATTGCTCATCCGTTTTGGCACATCCCGTTAGAGGTGGTGGGCTGGGGTTGTGGATGGATGGGTAGGGGAGGAGGGGGAGGAGGGGGGAGGGAGGAGGCCGTTGAGCGACGCTCAAGGCGGCCGTCAATACCCAGGGAATCTCTCGATCTCGACTGCTGGAATGAAGGATCGTCGTCCGAAACGTCGCCTGTGATATATAATGTTCAGTTTGCGGAATGCGCTAATGAAGAATGCGTCCTTGCTATTTGTGTTTGCGTGCCATCGCCAACGCTGTATTAAAAAAATATATAACCCCGTTGATCAATAGCACGGGGGGAGCGTTAAGTGGTGGGAAGGGAGGGAGGTCGTGGGAGAGGGGGCGGGGGGGGGAGAAGTGGGGGGCAGGGGGAGAGAAGTGTGGGCGCGTGGGTGGGGAGGGAAGCAAGGGGGGAGGGGTGGTGCTCAGCAACCCGCCCACTCTCTACCGTAATCACCCGACACGCAGCGTCCGCGGCCGTCAGCCACGCGCACTGTGGCGGGGAACGCGCCGAGTCGGCGTGCGCGTCGGGGCCCTGATGCGCCGCGCGTCGCCGCGTGTCGACGCCGATGCAATGATGACCCTATGATGACCCAATGATGACCCTATGATGACCCAATGATGACCCTATGATGACCCAATGATGACCCAATGACCCAATGATGATCCAATGACCCAATTATGACCCAATGATGACCCAATGATGATCCAGTGATGACCCAATGGTGACCCAATGATGACCCAATGACCCAATGATGATCCAATGACCCAATGATGACCCAATGATGACCCAATGATGATCCAGTGATGACCCAATGATGACCCAATGATGATCCACTGATGACCCAATGGTGACCCAATGATGACCCAATGACCTAATGATGATCCAATGATGATCCAATGACCTAATGATGATCCAATGATGATCCAATGATGATCCAATGATGACCCAATGATGATCCAATGACCCAATGATGACCCAATGATGATCCAATGATCCAATGATGACCCAATGATGACCCAATGATGATCCAATGATGACCCAATCATGGCCCAATGATGATCCAATGATCCAATGATGATCCAATGATGATCCAATGATGATCCAATGATGACCCAATGATGACCAAATGTTGACCCAATTATGACCCAATGATGACCCAATGTTGACCCAATGATGACCCAATGTTCACCCAATGATGACCCAATGATGACCTAATGTTGACCCTATGATGACCCAATGATGATCCAATGATGACCCAATGATGACCCAATGATGACCCAATGTTGACCCTATGATGACCCAATGATGACACAATGATGACCCAATGATGACCCAATGTTCACCCAATGATGACCCAATGATGACCCAATGTTGACCCTATGATGACCCAATGATGATCCAATGATGACCCAATGATGACCCAATGTTCACCCAATGATGACCCAATGATGACACAATGATGACCCAATGTTCACCCAATGATGACCCAATGATGACACAATGATGACCCAATGATGACCCAATGATGACCCAATGATGACATTCAATGATGACACTCCATTGTCGACCGCCTCTTCTTCCCACTGCCGTCGTGAAATCACCACCACCACCATCATCATCAGTTCAACATGCAGTCAAGCAGCAGGCTTTCGTGACCAATATAATTCATAATCGAGGGGGGGTGATTTTTGTTGGGGTTATATCGCGTAAATATAAATGTGTCGTTAAACCCGCCACCACCCGACACAGTCAATTAATAAGAGGTTTGTCACGCAAGCAAAACATGCAAATTCGTTACGAGGACAGCACAGCGGTGTGTTAGAGAGGAAAACCCACAACATTTACAATCAAGTACGACGTTTCGCAGGTAATTACAGCCATGCTCATCAGGCGACAGCCAGATTTGTGGAGAAATCCTCCTCCCGTTTCACCATCATCACCACCACGACCACCAAGAGCCCGCCATTCGCCACTCAGCGACGGCGACGTCATCACCACAACGCTTGTGCCAGGCTAGATGCACGTCGCGGTCATCACGTGGAGTGTCGAGGTCTCGCTGGGAGCAGGTCAAGGGGACAGGCACAGGTGTTATTAAAACAACAACAACCGAGCAGACAATGTTATTAATCATTCATGTCACCACCAAGGTGCTGTAGAGGAACCAGGATGACGTTTGTGAGTTGCCCTACCAGCGGTGCTCCCCTCTGTGTGACTTGCTGCGTTTTAACCGCCCGACGCTCTGCTCGATGTTGTGAGCGTCGCCTCTCCCACCCCCTGTTGATGTTACAGTGATGATTTTGTACGTTTGCCCACTGACAAAGAAATGATCAGTCTATAATTTTAATTTTAGGTTTATTTGAAGTGAGAGACAGAATAACAACAACAAAATCCAGAAAAACGCATGTCAAAAATGTTATAAATTGATTTGCATTTTAATGAGGGAAACAAGTATTTGACCCCCTCTCAATCAGAAATATTTCTGGCTCCCAGGTGTCTTTTATACAGATAACGAGCTGAGATTAGGAGCACACTCTTAAAGGGAGTGCTCCTAATCTCAGCTTGTTACCTGTATAAAAGACACCTGTCCACAGAAGCAATCAATCAATCAGATTCCAAACTCTCCACCATGGCCAAGACCAAAGAGCTCTCCAAGGGCTACAAGACCAATGCCAAGCAGCTTGGTGAGAAGGTGACAACAGTTGATGTGATTATTCGCAAATGGAAGAAACACAAAAGAACTGTCAATCTCCCTCGGCCTGGGGCTCCATGCAAGATCTCACCTCGTGGAGTTGCAATGATCATGAGAACGGTGAGGAATCAGCCCAGAACTACACGGGAGGATCTTGTCAATTATCTAAAGGCAGCTGGGACCATATTCACCAAGAAAACAATTGGTAACACACTACGCCATGAAGGACTGAAATCCTGCAGCGCCCACAAGGTCCCCCTGCTCAAGAAAGCACATATACATGCCCGTCTGAAGTTTGCCAATGAACATCTGAATGATTCAGAGGACAACTGGGTGAAAGTGTTGTGGTCAGATGAGACCAAAATGAAGCTCTTTGGCATCAACTCAACTCGCCGTGTTTGGAGGAGGAGGAATGCTGCCTATGACCCCAAGAACACCATCCCCACCGTCAGACATGGAGGTGGAAATATTATGCTTTGGGGGTGTTTTGTGCTAAGGGGACATGACAACTTCACCGCATCAAAGGGACGATGGACGGGGCCATGTACCGTCAAATCTTGGGTGAGAACCTCCTTCCCTCAGCCAGGGCATTGAAAATGGGTCGTGAATGGGTATTCCAGCATGACAATGTCCCAAAACACACGGCCAAGGCAACAAAGGAGTGGCTCAAGAAGAAGCACATTAAGGTCCTGGAGTGGCCTAGCCAGTCTCCAGACCTTAATCCCATAGAAAATCTATGGAGGGAGCTGAAGGTTCGAGTTGCCAAACGTCAGCCTCGAAACCTTAATGACTTGGAGAAGATCTGCAAAGAGGAGTGGGACAAAATCCCTCTTGAGATGTGTGCAAACCTGGTGGCCAACTACAAGAAACGTTTGACCTCT